CTATCAGCTCTCAACAATAGGGATAAATACATGCTTGGAAATCTCATCTTTTTATTCTTAGGGTATTTTTCCTCTGGCATATCAAATCAACAATTGTTCAAAGGGTTATCTTTTGATCCTCAAAGAAGATGGCCGTTATTTTATTTCAAAATATCTTAGCTACATACTCGGTTTCATAGGATTTTTGTTGTTCAAAACACTCTGGTGTCCTTCATTTGACATGTGTCATAGACCTTTCAAAAAGAATAGTAAAGCTAAAATTTAAGGATCCTTAATTTAGGATGATCTTGCACTTACATAATATTTCCTAGACTTGATAACTGATAAAGAACTAAAAAATGAAATGCTTTTGCCAATGAGGTAAATACTCATATTTTTTTATTACTTAGTACATGTTGTTGATTACTTAGTACATGTTGTTGAAATACATTTCAGTGGACAATGCCTGAATCACACCAGAAGAGGATGATGCAAAATTTTATTCTGAAGATTTAGTTTAGCAGAAGTGATTCAGAGTAATTCTAATTGACATTCTTGTTTAAACTAACAGTTTATCATTGTGCCAGATGAAAGGGAACCTATTTAACACCATCCTTCTCCAAATGGATTTATACATGGAAGTAAATTAGTGTAACATTTCCAAAGACGACAATACAAAAGTATAAAGAGTTTGCTCACACAGATCCCATTCATATGCTCTTTTTTTTATCTGATTAAATATTATTAAATAATTTTTTGACTCGACATTCTCTTTTTAATGTGACAGTAAGATCTCATTGTAATTGATGTTCACCATATAATAACATTTTCATTTTAATATTTGATATTACATACCTTTCGCACATCAGGAGCTAGATAAATGGAGGTAACATTGTATAGAATTACAAAACAAGCTTACTGCAACCTTGCATTGCTGTTTTCATGGAAAATCTACAGCCGGGTGTTACTAAAAATGATAGTATTCGAAAAGAAAGTTATTTTGATAGGAGAATTATGAAATGTTTTATCATAAGCTTTCCTGATCATCTTTTTATAATCAGAATCATCTATCTGAGCTTCTAATTCACAGAAAGAGGTGGTTTTTAAATTTCAAGACATTTAATTCCATGAACTGTAAAGAACAACAGAGTTCATGAACAATAACATTAGTTCATAAACTAAAGATTCATTAGTCACTTTCTGTTCAAGAATAGGTGACCATTCTGTTAATGAACTAGTTCATGAACAGTTCTTAGAGTTGATCATGAACTGAAGATTTGTGAAGTAATTCATGAACCAGTTCATAAACTAGTTCAAGAACAATTCATGAACCAGTTCATGAACTAGTTCAAGAACAATTCATGGACAGTTCTTAGATTTGTTCATGGATAGTCCATGAACTGTATATTCATGAAGTGGTCATTCTCTGTTCAGGTTCTAGTTCATGAACAGTTCTTGATCTTTTAGAGCCTTCATGCAGGTCAAGTAGTGATATACCAAGATTTTCAAGCTGTCTACTGTGGCTATTAGACCCCACTTTTCATTTAAGACCATGCAAACATCATAAGTCTTTTGGTGAAAATACCATGTCATTCAGGAGGAAAAAGATGTCAGCCATAATGAATTATTATCACATCTGCAACACCTTCAGTTAGGACCATTTAGATATCATAGGAACTCTTTTAGTGGTTGTGTGGTGGCCAAATTGGATGTCAGATTGGACCATAAGAAGTTTATAGATGAAGACCACACATCAATATAACTTTGGTTAAGGAAGATTTTAATTTGGCTGCTGTGACAGCCATATGGGACTAAATTGAGACTGGCACCTTTTTATTTAGCACCTCCTAGACATTTATAAGAAGTAAAATACCTGGCCTCACTTCCATAATAAATTACATGTACTCCAGTAAAATACCTGGCCTCATTTCAATGATAAATTTTATGTACTCCAGTACAATACCTGGCCTCCTTTTCATAATAAATTACATGTTACCCCAGTACAATACGAGGCCTCACTTCCATAATAAATTACATGTACTCCAGTAAAATACCTAGACTAATTTCAATGATAAATTACATGAACTCCAGTACAATACCTGTCCTCACTTCCATGATAAATTACATGTTAAATAATCACAGCACTTAATGATTAATAATAGAAAGAAAAAAAAATACCACCCCTAAATGTGACAATGGAATCTGCATACAGTAAACATTCTTAATTAATTGTTGATTTATTTGTGGAATGATTTTGTTTCTCATGCAAACCCTAAGTTTATCACTATGGAAAGCAATAAATATCTTCCTGGTATTTTTTGTAAACCACTTCTTTATTTCCTAAACTTTCAAACTGCCATATATATTATGGAAACACTTTAAGCAGGAGAAATTCAATAGAAATCCAAATTTTAGTATGTACTGTTGCTCATAAAAATTAAACCTGTTGGAGTATGCATTTGTTCATCTGCAACTGAAATTTTTTTTAAAAAATCCATATAATGCTGAAAAATCCATAAAATCCAAAAATCAATCTGCAAACCTTACAAAATTTTCCTCAGCCAGCAAGAGACCAAAGTAAGCCTCATATTGCTCACTTAGTACTATGTAGAAGTAAATGAGACCAAACTATATAAGTTTAACCTATTTCTCATTAATGATAATGTAATTACAATTAAGCTTTACAAAACTGATAAACTGATTTTGTACTGATAGCAACAGCCACAATTTTGTTGACCATAAAAATGAATCATGTGTAATAAAACCAGCTAAAATGGACACCTTTATATCAAGGGCACATGCTCATATTGGACAACATTTGTAAAGGCATTTGTTTTTTTTTAGAATGGACATTATATCCATTGGCATCCAAAAGGAATTTTTTCTTGTTGGGGGGGGAGATACTGCAACCACTGACCACCCACAACCACCTCTGGATACTCCTACATATATGTCAAAAAAATGTGTTTACTCAATGTATTATCTATGTAATGTAGCAAAATAATGCAATACTGTTGCTGCTGTTGTGGGTTTAATGCCATTTTTCAGCACACAATAGGAAGCCAGACTCTCATGGTGAAAGAACTGAGGAAAACCCAGTGGTAAGAACTATATATCCATGGGAAGCTACTGGAATCACAGTACTAATTCAGTTCCCATAGTATATGGGAACACAATGATATTAAAAATTCAATAACTTCACATTTCTGAGTGCCCATGATCAAACCTTTATCACTATAGATGAAAACCTGGATGTCCATTTCTGTGTAGAGGAAAGGATATGAGCAGCGGCATTTACTAAACATGTGTGTGTTTGATACTTGCTTTCAATTCTGCACCAAAGAGTCGGGTGCTTATTTTAGTAATGAGTGTTCCAAGATCCAGACTGTTGAAGGGCTAGAATTCCATCAATAAAACAATGTCTCTATTTTTTTTCAGTACAACTAGGACAAGCTCTCAAAAGATTATTTTTCCTAAAACATAACTTATATTATTAACCAATCCTGGCCAACAAAACCCATATATACTCTATTAAATGTTCACCTATTTCCAGGCTTGTTCATATTTTTTCTATACAATTAGTACCATATGTCCTACAGGCAAGCTTTCTTACATACACACATTGGCTGAGCTTAAAACTTGGACCCAAGCTGACAAAGAAAATAATGCAAGCTATTATATTATATAATTTTCAACATCACTGGCTGGAGCATGAAATCAGACCTGAATATAAACCCCTAACATCCAGCAAAATCACCATTCTATCATGTAACCATTTAAAGTTTCAAATGCTATCAACACATCATGTAAACAACCTAAGGTATTTTACATTTGTCATTCAAAGATGGAGAAAGAAAGCAGTGGTACACTGAGGCTTCAATCATATCTCATTCATGCATCATTTAACTTCAGTAAAAGAACAACTCCATTAGAGGTCAGACTTATTCTAGTTTTTACTGCTATCAAGCATTCCAAATATTTAGAAGGCATTACTGTATTTCACTGTCAAGGCTGAAGAATACATGTAGTTGGTGATTTTTTTATATTCTCCTGCACTATAGCATAAAATTTTACCCAATTTTTACAGGTGAGTGAACATTTTTGTTGTGCATGATACACCTAAATACAAAATATTGGAGGCCTGGATTTGATATCCCACTGTGCCATCACAGATTGGTCCTGCTTCACATTGTGTGCCAACACAGCATAGACCTGCTTCACATTCATTGCCAAAACAACATGGTCCTGCTTCATTTTATGTGATATTTTGCTTCACATTGTGTGCAATCACAGAATGGTCCTGCATCACATTGTGTTCCAACACTGCATGGTCTTGCTTCACATTGAGTGCCAACACTGCATGGTCCTACATCACATTGTATGCCAACACTGTATTGTCCTGCATCACATTATGTGCCAACACTGCATAGTCCTGCTTCATGCTGTATGCCATCACAACATGCTCCTGCTTCACATTCTGTACCAACACAGCATGATCATGCTTTATATTCTGTGCCAGAGCATCACTGTCCTAGAATCTAATGCACTGTGTACCAAAACATCATGGTCTTTGCTATTTACTTAAAATTTTATGTAGAAATAGATCTACAATGAACACAACCACTACTGTCACCACCCTTTCAAGATATGAGGTGTAGCACTCATGACTCATAGCACTAATTCAACTCAATGGTCAACCCATCTTTGATGCAGTCTTCTCCATGGACCATAAGAGCCATGGCATAGTTTATCTGCATGTGTTTAAATTACATTTTTAATTTCACACTTACATTATCTGGTGCTATTTTCAGGTACTAAGTGTTCAAAAATAAAGTTTGTAAAAGGAATGAAATAAAAAAAATATTGTCTTTATTTTGTTACATATAAGCTTTCTATATATGATTTTTGCTTAAGCTTTATTTTTCACTATCAGTCAATCTTGGTCTTCCAATCCCATATATACTCTATTTTATGTTCTCAAATTTTTAGACTGGTTCCCCTTTTTCCAAAATAATATAACCGCTCTGGTGGCCTAGTGCTTAGAGCATCTACCTCAGATGTGGGAGGTTGCGGGATCGAGCCCCGGCCAAGTCATACCAACTACACACACACACACACACACAATAATATACAAAACTGGTGAGACAATTCTAAAATATTGCCTATTACAAAAACAATATTATATGGGACACAAACTTTGTCATCATACATATTTATACATGTTTTATAAGGTTATCTGAAATAGATCTGAATCTGCTATACAACAAAGATCAGGATAGGTGGACAAACAAATATGTATTAAATATGGATTCATAACTTTTGCAGTGCTGATCAAACTGATTCCATCTACATATCTATTCATGATAAAAAAAAGCATGCCAAGTTTCATGAATATATCTCAAAGGATTCTGGAGATAACTGTATGCACTCACTAAGTAAGGTCAAAATGAAAACTGCACTGACCATGATCAACCATCATATTATGAGCTGGCAGATCTGGATATTTAGGAGTCATCAGAAGAACAAACAATGCAGACTCTGATCTGCAGATACATTATGCCACAGAAGATCAGGATTGTTGTTTGCAGTTTGACTTGACTTATAAGAATGTGTGTATATATATATATATATATATATATATATATATATATATATATATATATATATATATATATATATATGTGGTGTGATTGACTGTCAGACAAACAAGTTGGCTATAGTATAATTTTAATTATTCTTTATGTGTGTAGGGGAAGTTATAACAAAATCAGAGTCCCTGATCTACAAGTACATTATATCATGACAGATCTGGGTCTATTCTTATTACAGTTGCACAAGCACTAATATACTGGCATTAAGTACCAGGTACCAAGTATCATGTCAGACACAGTAACACCTGATAATATACTGCTGACTGTCAATACCTTTCATTTAAATGCTGTAAAGAATTTGGTAAATAAACTTATCACATTTCAGTAAGGAGTTAACACACAGATGTTGATACAGGTAAATCTTTCAATATGAATGCAGATACATTCATACCATTAAACCAGTTACAGCTGTGTGGAATGGTCTAAGCATGTGATTGCAAAAACAAATCCCATCAAAATTGTCCACCATAAATACCTAAACTGTCTAGATCCACAAGGGCTAAAATATAACTAGTCATGACAGTTAAAAAAAAACATTACATTTTACATCTGCTGAAAAACACATTTCACACATGCACAGACTGATGGAGACAAAACTCTTAACTGTGTCTGATAAAATTGTGAAGATTTACACCAACACAAAAAATTACAAAAATAAAACATTTTACACATCTAGATTATAATCTAAAGTAATTTTATGGAACAGGCAACTTTGCTTTGATTTTTCAGATCCTTAAAATTTTAACTGGTCTTCTTGATTTGAGTCAGTAGCCCAAAGAAATAATAATAATAATAATAATAATAATAATAATAATAATAATAATAATAATAATAATAATAATAATAATAATAATAATAATAATAATAATTTCATCCAACAGTCCATAGACATACAAAGCACATACAAAAACACAAATGCAGTAGATCAATACAATTTGATCCAAGTGATCAATGAGGCACAAATCATAACTTTGTAACATGTAATAAAACAAAATTTGGAGTTTTCAAATGAAAATAAAGACTTAACCGCATCTCAAATGAAATTTTGTGTAGAACTGTCTCTTGTCTGATTTTGTTTTCTCTCTGAATAAGTTGGCATGCTAAAATAATTTCCAATATTCTTTAGTGATAATATTTTTAAAAACTGCTGCTGTGATACAGATACTGGATACAAGCATGGCACAATTTTCATTTTGGACAAAGTATACATCAAATTCTTAAGTGTTTGGTGAAAACAGTGTACACAATCATCCATTCAAGGGCACAGTAACAACAAGATTTTTAACAGTTATCATTTTTTAATGGCAGCCATATTGAATCTATGAATGGCACAATTTTCATTTGGGTAAAACTAGGTTTCATTAAGAGTCTATTGTTGAAATCCAACACTGATATAACCATTCATTTTGGAGGAGCAAAGGAATAGCACATCTTCAAGATATAAATTTCCAATCAGATTATTACAATTTTTATTTAGCTTCAACTAGAACTCAAAAAGAAGTCTTTCAGTGATAAAACAATTCATGCCATACACAAATAATAAGAGGATGTCCAATCATCATCATTTTCATGAGGCAAAGTCTTTTAGTTAAACCCCATGCTGATATAATCATCCACTCAGCAGCAACAAGATTTTCCAGCTTGTTATCTCAGTTGCCATAATGTTCATAATATTGGCACCACTTGTATTTCATAATGAAGTAAACATCATTGTACAACTTTTGGTGAAAACTCCATGTTGATACAACCATCCATTTAGACAGTAATAATAACCAGTTTCAAGATGGCTTCTGTAGCAGTCATTTTTTTTATGCACAACCATTTTCATTTAGGACAAACTAGACCTTGCAAAGAATGTATTTGTAAAGTTTCAAGATGATCCTCTAGCAGTTTCCAAATGAAAGGTGACCATAAACATCTGGTAATAGACAGATAGAGGACATACAATAAACAACAGAACATTCCAAAAAGCTCCAAATGACCCATACAGCTAAAAGGTGATACTTCTTCTGCTAACAACTTAGGTTCCCTAAAAAAAATCAACCTGCAATCACATTTTGTTGCAGTTACAACTGTTGACTACACACACACACACACACTCTCTCTCACTCTCTCTCTCTTTCTCTCTCTCACACACACAAACACACACACACAAACACACACAAGCATGTATGTGCATGACATTTACTATACCAAACTTTACTATACCAAACAGGTTGGGCATGTAAAATGAAAAAAAATCTTAAGAAGAAAGGTGAAGAAAAGTAATGATTTTTTGAAACAATTATTCTCAAACTATTGGCTTGGTCGAGCAACACTGGCCTGCCCTACCCACATACACACCCCTGCAAAGACAGGAAATCTGCACTATACAAAATACATACAAAACAGCATATATGGTAGATGACTATGATCTCTTTAGTACAACTTGACTGCCAACATTCCAGTGTTGAATAGTAACCATAGCAAGGTAGGTAGAGAAAGTTACAGCAAGCACCATACATCCCCAATTGACATTTATCTGATATTGATTGTATTATCCTTTTGAGTGCCAAAACTGAATTTTCTTCTTGGTGTTGTTTCTCCTTTGTTTCTTTACTTTTTCAAAGATTAAGTACAGTATTATGAAAAATATATAAAGGACCCCATCTCCTCAATATGTCCAAATGTTGGCAATTTAGTTTTCTTGGTATTCAGGACCATTCCAAATCCTAATATTTGCACTGAGTTTTCTGGGCATTTTGGGCCAATTCAAGTCCTAATAATTGCATAGGTCTCTTGGCATTTAGGACCATTTCAAGTCCAAATATTTTCAGTTTTCTGGGCATTTAGAACCATTTCAAGTCCTTATTTTGGCACCAAGTATTCTGGACATTTGTGTCCATTTCAAGTCCTAATGTTGGCACCAAATGTTCTGGACATTTGTGTCCATTTCAAGTTCTAATGTTGGCACAAAATGTTCTGGACATTTTGTGTCCATTTCAAGTTCTAATGTTGGCACCAAGTTTTCTGGACATTTGTGTCCATTTTAAGTCCTAATGTTGGCACCAAGTTTTCTAAGCAATGTTTTTCTGACCACTGTTAACATACAGTAGTATATTCTGAATCAATTAACAGTGATATTCCAACTAGGAATTAAAAAGGGCAAGACTATTATCTGTGCCAAATTACTGGGGATACCTTCTACCTTCTTTTTAAGAACATGAGATCACATGGTTCAAAGATCAATCCTCTCCCATATGAATTATCTCCCCATGACTGACATACATTCCTAACATTTTTCAAGCAATGTGCTAAATGTCTATGGTTACAAAATTGTACAATGGGAATTTTTAGTAGGGGTGTTTCATTATTATAAACTACATTCTTGTATTGATAATTATAGATACTGACCCTTGAATAATGTCACATAATTAATTACATGGAGATACCATCATTGATAGTGAATTCATTACTTATGTTTCCAAGTCAAAAATATGTAACAAACAAAAAATAAAATCAATACAAGCAATAAATAAATAGTCCCAATAAAAAAAACACTACTTTGCCTGTGAACTTGATTTAGTCTATGATTAGTCACTGAATTTGGAATGCTTTAGGCAGGGATCATTCAATTAGTCACTGAATTTTGGAATACTTTAGGCAGAGATCAATCAATTAGTCACTGAATTTTGGAATGCTTTAGGCAGGGATCATTCAATTAGTCACTGAATTTTGGAATACTTTAGGCAGAGATCAATCAATTAGTCACTGAATTTTGGAATACTTTAGGCAGAGATCAATCAATTAGTCACTGAATTTTGGAATACTTAAGCCTGGGATCAATCAATTAGTCACTGAATTTTGGAATACTTTAAGCAGGGATCATTCAATTAGTCACTGAATTTTGGAATACTTTAGGCAGGGATCATTCAATTAGTCACTGAATTTTGGAATGCTTTAGGCAGGGATCATTCAATTAGTCACTGAATTTTGGAATGCTTTAGGCAGGGATCATTCAATTAGTCACTGAATTTTGGAATGCTTTAGGCAGGGATCATTCAATTAGTCACTGAATTTTGGAATACTTTAGGCAGGGATCATTCAATTAGTCACTGAATTTTGGAATACTTAAGGCAGGGATCATTCAATTAGTCACTGAATTTTGGAATACTTTAGGCAGAGATCAATCAATTAGTCACTGAATTTTGGAATGCTTTAGGCAGGGATCATTCAATTAGTCACTGAATTTTGGAATACTTTAGGCAGAGATCAATCAATTAGTCACTGAATTTTGGAATACTTAAGACCTGGGATCAATCAATTAGTTACTGAATTTTGGAATACTTTAGGCAGAGATCAATCAATTAGTCACTGAATTTTGGAATACTTAAGGCCTGGGATCAATCAATTAGTCACTGAATTTTGGAATACTTTAGGCAGAGATCAATCAATTAGTCACTG